GGGGAGGTGGTGGGGTCTCCGTCCTTGGAGCTGTTCAGAAGCTGCCTGGACATGGTCCTGGGCAACCAGCTCTGGGTGTCCCTGCCTCAGCAGGGGATGGGACAAGGTGGGCCCCAGAGGTCCCTGCCAGGCTCAACCTCTCTGTGGTTCTGCACGATGTGTGTTCTGGGAGGGACGTGACTGCACCCTGTAAGGAAGACCACACTGTGCTGACTCTCATCTCTGTTCATACGTAGGCCCTGGAAGATGCTTTCTTAGCCATAGATGCCAAGCTCACCACTGAGGAGGTGATTAAAGAGCTCTCTCAGATGGCTGGCAGACCCCAGGATGATGAAGATGAGAAAGAGAAAGTTGCTGATGAAGATGATGGTAAGTCAGATACCACTGAATAGACAAGAGCATAGCTCCAGGACAGGGACCCAGAGCGACTGGGCCAGGTCTCTTTTAGCAGAAGGTTTTCTTTTCAAATTTCTCAGTTAAGTTTTAGCTGGAGTTGAACTGCTGCCCCTCAGCACCATTTGTTGCTTTGGACTGCCGCTAGGGGAATTCTGGTGCGTTTGGTACCTTAATCCTGTGAATTAAAAACCCGTTTTCCTTAGGGCTACCTCCGTGGGGTGCAGAGTTCTAGGATGTGGCAGAAACCGCAGAGCTGGGATGTGGGTGAAGTTGTGAGACAGCAGTGTCCAGTGCTCGGCTCTCCCATGCTGGCAGCACACACTGGCTGCAGATAGGGTTGAAGGAGATTATGGTCTCTTCAGCAATTCTTTTTCTCACAAATAAGTGTATTTTTTCCACCAGGAAGTAGTTGCCAGACCACAAAGCCAGCTGGAAGGTGAATCCCAGGGTAGAATCCTGTGCTGCTCTGAGCTAAGTGTCTTGAGACTAGCCTTGAAGCAGATGTAAAGCTGTGAATGCTGTGGGTTGTTCTGAAAATGCTGAATTTGTTGGCCCTCGTTCTCCAGCTGACAGGGGCCATGGGGTTGTAGTTGGTTGGTTGGGTTTTTTTCTTTTTCTCCTGTATTTCCAGGAGTGTTTGGGAGGGAGGTTGTGACTTAGACGGTCTTGAAGGTCCCTTCCAACCAATCAGTCTATGATTCTGTGTGGGTGTTTCTTTTGGGGGAAGGATTAACCAGTGAAGAAAGTTAATAACCAGGGGGAGGCCAGTAGGGAAGCAGTGGTCCTTGGCTCATCCTTTAGGCAAAGTCATCCTGTTTTCTGTCGCGTCCCACCGGGGCGGTCCTGCCTTCGCTGCCTGAAGCTGTCCTGTCATGTTTGTGGGTGTCTGGATCACAACTGGTTGGGATCCCTGTGGAGCAACTGCTATAACAAAACCTCCTTGTTCCTGGTTGCAGCGTCACTGAACAAATCCACGCATGGAAGTGGTCGCTCTTCTTCCCCCACAGCTTCAGATGAGCCTACGCTTGAGAAATATGAGGCTCTCTGCCCTCTGACCTTACATCTAATTTAGTGCCTGGTGCTGCCCGCGAGTCTGCTGGACGGCACCAGAGGCCGGGTGCACGGGGCAATGCAGGCGGCAAGTGTCAGCCGGGAGCCATTACCCTGCCTGCTGGAAGCCGTGGGGCGGCACCTG